ATATATATATATACACAAAAGCTTACACATACACATGCATACCTAAAAGTACACACATATAATACACATGCATATAATATACACATGCATACATATATACACACACAAATACACATACATCTTTACAGAAGCAGACTGTCCATGGAGCAGGTGGTGAGTTTAAACCACAGACCTTTTGGTTAGCAGCCCAGTGCCTCTAACCACAGTGCCACCATAGCTCCTAAGACAAGGAGAGGGGGCTGAGATAGGTTTGTCCCTTCCTAGGCAGGCAACAAATGAGCAGTATATATGTGCATCATATATATCATATATGATGCACATATATACACTTCTTGTTGTTGTTGTTTTGTGCCGTCGAGTCGGACCCAACTCACAGCAACACCTCCTTGGGTTTCCGAGGTGGTGTCACTATGGAAGTAGATTGCCCAACCTTCCTTCTGAGGAGTGGCTGGTGGGTTTGAACTGTCAGCCTTCTGGTTAGCAGTCAAGTGCCTTAGGCACTACGCCACCAGAGCTCCCAGATAGTGACTAAGTGTTCTCAATGCAGCTAGCATCTCAGTCCCAGTTGCAAATCGGAAAATCCAGGTGACCAGTGGTTAATTGGTGGGCTATTCCTGTAAACCTAACGTAGGAGCCCTGGTGGCTCAGTGATTAAGACGCTTGGCCGACCACCTAACCAGGAAGTCAGCACATAGAACGCAGCAGGAGGAAGACGTAGCAGTCCGCTTCTGTACTCCAACCTTGGAAACCCTCCAGGGCAGTTCTGCTCCGTCCTGCAGGGTTGCTATGAGCTGGCATCCACATGGCAGCAACAGGCTGTTTTGGGGACCTGTATAACAAGTGCTAAAGTGCGAGATGAGAAGATGTTGCTCGCCAGAGACGCAGCAGAAAGCTGGAATGGAATTTAATGTCTAAGAGGGGCTTGGCCCAGGAGCAGTTTTATTCTCCAAGTCAGAGGAGAGCCTCGCGCTCTCAGATCACGTCTTTCACATAGACTTCTGAGCAAGTCGTTTGGGCGTTTTGTGTGTGTGTGTGTGTGTGTATAATTAAAACCAGATCCGTTTCAGGACCAATCTTCTTGATCTTTGAATACTGCTGCTATGGCGATCTTCTCAACTACCTAAGAAACAAAAGAGAAAAATTCCACAGGACGTGGACGGAGATTTTTAAGGAACACAATTTCAGTTTTTACCCCACTTTCCAGTCACCTCCAAATCACAGGTAAGAGACTGGGTCCAGGTCTCATAATCATACCTTATAGAACACAGCTGGAGTATGCCAGCCAAACAACACGTGTGTCACTCTCTGTGTGTCCATTATGTGTCCGCGGTCCGGCATCGTGTGGTCCGTGGGTCTGAAGACCTGGAACAGTCACTTGTCTTTGCTCTGGCTTTCCTGCTGATGGCGGACGGTGCACCCCTCCCTTTCCACACAGCGCAGCTCTCAGAGCTCAGCCCGTCTCTCCTGGGCCTTCATTGCTCCCTAGACACGTGCTGCATTTTTGGAAAGGTGCATCATAAACCCTTTCACATACAACCCTTTGTGTGTGTGTATGTATAATTAAAACTGGATCCATTTCAGGACCGAGCTTCTTGAGTTTTGAATCCCAGTTAGCACAGGGGTATTGGTACAAAAAGTTCACCCTTTTTCCAAATCCTTGACATGTTTACAGAAAGTCGCTCAGGTCCTAGGAGGGTTGCACAAAATAGCTCTAAATTCATAAGCTGGATTTTTAAGAAATGAGGATGGGTTGATCGACACCATGTGATGGGGACAAAATCAAGTAGTGGTGACCAATCTGTCTTGGATGAAGCGCAGCCGGAATGCCCCTTAGAAACACGGATGGTGAGACTCTGTCTCGTGCACTTTGGGCGTGTTGTCAGGTGGGACCAGTCCCTGGAGGAGGTCATCAGGCTTGTGAAGCAGAAGGTCAGTGGAAAC